CCAGCACGACCGCACCCCAGCACGACCTTACCACAGCACGACCACACCCCAGCACGACCACGCCCCAGCACGACCACGCCCCAGCACGACCACGCCCCAGCACGACCACAGCCACGACACGCACGCACCACCCCCCAGCACGACCACCCCCCAGCACGACCACACCCCAGCACGACCACTCCCCAGCACGACCACACCGCCTTGGTTGAGTGGTTGCCTGTCGTCGTGGAATGTTTCGTGGGGTGTCTCGTGGAATGTTTCGCGGGGTGTCTCGTGAAATGTTTCGTGAGTTGTCTCGTGGAATGTTTCGTGAGGTGTCTCGTGGGCTGTTTCGTGAGGTGTCTCGTGGGATGTTTCGTGAGGTGTTGCCCAGTTGGGTATCATGAAAACGTGTCCATGCTCCACATGTCTATATCCCTTTCCGGGTTCGTGGGTCCATCATGTTTGCATTCGTTTCAGGTGGAGAGCCCGCGGCCCACCCGCGACCACGTTCAGGGTACAAACCAAATTTTTCGGCGCCTGCGGCGGGCATCTTTTGCATTCGTTCCCGGTGAAGAACCCGCGGCCCACCCGCGACCCAAATTACGTTCAGTGTACAAACCAAACTTTTCGGCGCCTGCGGCGGGCTGCTTTTCATTCCTTCCAGGTGGAGGTGGAGAGCCCGCGACTCACCCGCGACCCAAACCACGTTCACTGAACAAACCAATGCCGCACAAGCGCGGCGGCGGATTTTTGCATGCCGTCTGAGCCCGCAACGACCTCTTCAAGCCCCGCGCATCCACACCAGCCCGTCCAGCAACCTTGCCCTTGCGAGTTGCCTTGATCAGAGAAGTCGGGGAGCATAAAGTGGAAAAAAGGATTGCGTTGCCGTTATCTTGGGAAAGGAGAGGGAGGCAGGAAGAGTAAACAGGGGACGAGGAGGACGCGGAAGAAGAGAGGATGTAAGGATAATGTGGAGAAAGAGGAGGAGGAGGAGGAGGAGGAGGAGGAGGAGGAGGAGGGAGGAGGAGGAGCAGCAGGAGGACGGGAGGGGGAGGAGGGGGAGGAGGAGGACGAGCGGAGGGGGATGATGATGATGATGATGATGATGATGATGATGATGATGATGATGATGATGATGATGATGATGATGACGACAATGGGAGGACGATGATGGAGGCCGATGAGGGGGAGGACGACAATGGGAGGACGATGATGAAAGGACGAGGGGGGGAGAGGGAGGACGAGGAAAAGAGGAGGAGGAGGACGAGGTGGAGGAGGAGGATGACGATGACGATGAGGACGAGGACGAGGACGAGGACGAGGAGGAGAGGAGGAGGAGGGAGGAGGAGGAGGAGGAGGAGGAGGAGGAGGAGGAGGAGGAGGAGGAGGAGAGCGCCATCGACAGGGAAGGTGGGGGCCACGAGGTCCGCCGGTTCGACGACGCCCGCGTCGCCCGCGCCCGCCCCCTCACTCTTATCCGCAAGTGCGGGGTGCTATACATGCATATATATATATATATATATATATATATATATATAGTGGCACGTGTGTGCCCAGGCTCATACAAAAAAACTGAAAGGGCGTTTGAAGCAGGAAGACACCATGACTGCAGGATCGGAGACGGAGAAGGGGAAGCTGGGGCGGCGCCGCCAGGGCGTGCCTAAGAGAAGGGGAAGAGGCAGGAGGTGAACGCAGAATAATCTAAGATCGAGGTCGCACTCGAGCGCAAGTGGGGTTGCCACACCTTGCGATGTGTGTGCCAGGGCCCCCCAGGAAGCCTCAGGAGGCCCGACTTGGATACCAGAAGAGGCTCCAGGAGGCCCCAGGATTGTGAGTGTTGTGTGGGTGTGTGTGTGTGTGTGTGTGTGTGTGAGTGTGTGTGTGTGGTGTGTGTGTGTGTGTGATGTGTGCTCTGTGTTGTGCGTGTTTTGTGCGTTGTAGGTGTTGTGTGTGTGTGTGTGTGTGTGTGTGTGTGTGTGTGTGTGTGTGTGTGTGTGTGTGTGTGTGTGTGTGTGTGTGTGTGTGTGTTATGCTTGTCTAGCGTGTGATGTGTTGGGCGTGATTTGTGTCTCTGTGTGTGCATGTAGTTCTGAGGCCCCAGGAGGCCCCAGGCGGCCTCAGGAGACCCCAGGAGACCCCAGGAGGCTTCATGAGGCCCCAAGAGGCTCCAGGAGGCCCCAGGAGGCCCCAGGAGGTTTCAGGGAGGAGACCCCCAGGAGGCTCCGAGGCGGGGTCTGGGGTACCAGAAGGTTCAGAAAGCCTTAGGAGGCCCCAGGAGGTTCCAGGAGGCCCCCAGGAGGCTCCCAGGCGGGGTCTGGGGTACCAGAGGGTACGTCGGGGCTCGATGTTGGGAGGATGTTTCAGGCGAAGCCGCCATTCTGTGAGAATCGGGGTCAAAATTATTGAAATTACAGAATGTGTTTGAAGGTTTTATGTTAAAATGTTGAAATTCCTATGTGTTTTTGGACCCTGACGTCACGATCTGCGTGAGGGATGCCACCGATTTTCAGAATTTCGAGGGCGTCCCTAGCGAAACGGCCAGAAAAATCGCAGACGCGGCGCCCCGCGTACGCATGAATCGTCTCTGAACTCTACTCCCTCGGAGAGGTGCGTATGAGTATATATATATATATATATATATATATGATTATATATTATATATATGTACACATATATATATATTATAATATATATATATATATATATAATATATATATGTATGTATGTAGGTAGGTAGGTAGGTAGGTAGGTAGGTAGGTAGGTAGGTAGGGCCGGGGACGCCTGAAAAAACGCCTCCCCCTCCCCTCCTAACGAATTTGGCCCTCCCTGGGCCTCCGGGCAACCTTTCAGACGACCCGGGAGAACCTCACGAGAGTCCGAAGACGGCCCTAGACGGGTTCCAGGCGTTCTGGCGCGCTCCCGAAACGACCCCAGAGAGGCTCAATACGGTCCAGGCCGACCCCCAAGAAGCCGTCATACCCCCAAAGAACGTTCCGAAACGTCCCAAGAGGCCTCCAAAGGCACCCCCAAGAAGGCCCCCAAAGGCAACAATCATAGATTTTCGGATGGCTTTTGGTGAATTTTGGGGTTCTCCTCTTTTCGGCTTCCCGACGCTCCAAAACGGCGGTCTTCTGGGCGTCCGAAGCCGCCTGGGACCACCCAAATCGCCCCACAACCATCCGAAAGGGCTTCGAGGCAGTCCAAGAGAGCCCCAAAACGGCACAACAGGGGTCCAAAATGGCCCTGAGAGAGCCCCATGGCGGCCCAAGGTGGCCCCAAGACACCCTCCGAAGCATTCCAAATCGTGACCCGGTCGTTCAGGGAGACCGTGGTTGGAGGCAGGGTGGCCCGAGGAAGCCCCCAGAGGCCACCAGAACACGCCCAGGAGGCCTCCAGAGGGCCTTAAGAAAGCCAGAACAACTTTTGGGAGGCCCCCAGGGGCTCTCCAAGAAGGAGCCTCCGCAAAAAGAGCTGAGGAGGATGGGGAGACTGCGCAGGGTATGGCGAGAATGAGAAAAAAGAGGCATGCAGGAAGGATCATGAATAACATTATTATAGCGGCGATGCCAGAAAAGGCATCAAGGAGTTATCGCTAGATTGTAGGCTTGACCTTCCTGCTATTCCGCCTGACCAAACTTCAAGGACCAAGGTGCATGGCGCGAAGCGCCACTGCAGTCCTGTATATATATATATATATATATGTATATATATATATATATATATATATATATACTGCGAATGGTAACGACGGCGGCGGCGGCGGTGGCGACGGCGACGACGCTGACGTGGGTAGAGTCCTGAGGGATGCTTCTTGTCTCAAGGGGGCAGTTTGAGGGCCTCTTGGGAGCCTCTTTGGGGCCTCTTGGGAGAATCTTTGGGGCCTCTTGGGGCCTCCTGGGGGCTTCCTCTGGGGGCCGAGGGCTCGAAATGTCCGTTCGGGTCCCCCGCCTGGGCACCCTCTTGGAGCCGTCTGGGGTGCCTTTTGGGCCGTCCTGGAAGCGTCTTGGGCCGTCTTGGGGCTCTCTTGGGCCGTTTTGGTGCTCTCTTGGAGGCCTACTGGGCCGTTTCGGGGCGATGTTGTGGGCCTCTTGGGCCGTCTTGGAGCGAGGCAAGCACGCCAAAATCCGTGAAACAAAAAAAAACGTATGGGATATCAATTGTTGTTCCTCTTGGGGCCCTCTTTGGAGTGCTCCTGGAGGCCTCTTGGGGTGTCATGCAGCCCTTTTGGGCCGTCTGGAAGCCGTCACGGCGTCTTGAACAGATCGTTCGGCGATTCGGGACCCTCTTGGAGCGTCTCGGGGGCCTCCTGGGGGCAGTCTTGGCTCGTCTTGGGGCCTTTTCAGCTCTGGGACTCCCCGGGGGGGCGTCGCATCTGACCGGGGCTCCCCCCCCCCCGGGACCCCTCCCCGGGACCCCCCCCCTCCCTCTGGGAGTCCCACTAGTTTGACGCCGAAACTATTTGAAACCCGCGCGCGGCCATTTTGAAAACCACCATGAACCATTTTCAACTTCAGCACCGCACGGCCCGCATGCGGCCTAGAACCATGAGAAAACCATTTTCATCATTCTTAATATGATCCCCGACATGCCCGTGACCCTATCCATCTGGGACCCCCCTCTCCCGGCGGGGGAGGGGGATCAAAGGGAAGGGTCTTTCCTTTGACCCAGTTATATCGTTGCTCAATTTCGCTTTGGCTTGGGGGCTTCAGGGGGAAGGCGGTGAGGAAGATGGAGAATGGCAGCGGGCCCAGGGAAAGGGGGAGATAGGGGGAGACAGGGCAAGGGGGCGACAGAGACAACGATGAACGAATGACGGAGAGAACGAGTCGAGCGGACAAGCCCCTCACACACGCCGCCAGGGTCGGCAAATTTGAAACAGTGGATATATATATATATATATATATATACATATATATACATAAGGGGGAAGACAAGCATCAAGACGATATGGGCACATATAGGGAGTCCCGGAAGCTGTGCCGATCCACTCGTGCCTCCCTGGCGCCCCGAAGCGCGAGGTGGTGCTGAGCCGCCTCGCGAGGCAGGCGGAGACCCACCTGAAGCAGTCCTTCGACCAGTCCAAGAAGGACTACGACATGACCACTGGCCAGAGGAAGAACCTGAACGACCCGAGGCGGTCAGGGGCAGCGATGGGGGGGATGGGCATTCCCAGAGATCCAGCGCACTGGAAGAATCAGGCCGGAGGCTTTTCGCAGTTTTCGGCGGCCTCTACAGTGGCCCTCGTCGGGCCCCGGGACCTTCACAAAAACGATCCAGGATAAAATACCGGTCCTGTGGGGAATCGGTCGAGAGTTCTGGGGGCCCCGCATTGAAAAAATCACATCGGATCTCTGGATTTTGGACGGGGCTGGGACGAGGATAAACCCGTTCCTGGGCGTTCCGGAGCGCTCTCAGAGCGTTCCGGACTGCGGGGCCGGATACATCCTCTACAGCCGCCGGATCTCAGAGACTCTCGACTCGTCTTCACCCGAGTCTATCCTCGTCCCGGCCTCGTCTTCATAGGGGTGGCACACATCGACCCCCAGCCGTGTCCGCTCCTCGCCGGCGGGGGCCCGATGCCCCACCCCGTCCAGGGACTGGCGGATTCGCTACGGGAGGCCCATCGCCGATCCGTCGGCGATGCATCGCCGGCTCCAGGTCCAGGCTCCCCCCCATGTGCCAGTCCCCCCTGCTCTCGGCGGCGCGCCCTGGGGGGAATGGAAGAAGGGGCGGGCCTTCTCAGAGCACGGGCCCTCTGAGAAGTTCTCCAAGCCTTCCCCGAAGACACAGAAAATTTCTCAGACAGCCAGAAGCTTCTGAGAAGCCCCGCCGCCTTTGAGAGGGCCTTCTTCTTCTCACTCCCCCCCTCTCCCGTCGCCGACGACTGTTGCCCCTCAGAGGCAGATGGAGGCGGAGGAGCTCGAGGAAGAAAAATGGCACAGACCTAAACTTTTGGAGCTCCGCGCGGATTCCTCGGATCCGCGCGGGGCCTCTCCTGGCGGCGCCTCTGGCACCGCCCTCGGGCGCGCTCCCCGCGCCAGGGATGGGGGGGGTCCAGCGCGGGTCCAGGAAACCCGCGCGGACCTCCAAGAGTTTACGTTTCTTCAGCGGCGAAATCCGAGCCCTACCCTCGCGGATCAACGGTTCGAGCAGCTCGATGGGCGGCAGGGGTGGAGGTTCAGAACTCGTCGAGCACGTGGCGAAGTCCAGACCTTACCCCCGCTTCCCATCGATTCAGGAGGATCGACGGTTGGTGGGGGTGGGGCTCGGATGTCGCCACCCGTCTGTGCAGTTTGTTCCTTCCTGCAGGAGCGGGAGTACGTTAAGAGAGTGCAGGACATGGTCGGCAAGCCCTGCTCCAGGGCCCCGAGGATGCTCAAGCAGAACACGTACGCCCTGAGCAAGGGGCGCTCCCAGCTGGTCCGGCGCAAGGAGCAGCTGCTACGCGAGGGCAGCGAGGTCATTCGTTGTTTTGTTCCCGGAGAGGGCATAGGCCCAGGGTTCTCTTTTAGCAGGGAAATTTGTCCCCGGTGCCAAGCTCGAAGAGGGCCGGCGGAGCAGTGTGCGATGAATATCGAGGTCGAAGAGGGCCGGCGGATTACATTTTGAGGATGTCCCTGGCGAAACATTTTTTTGAAATTCCGATAGGTAAAACACATGGTGAAGTAAACATGTTCGTTTGTTGCGGATGTCTCGAGCGAGACGCTTATTTTGCAGGGTTTGTTGAGGATATCTCGAGTGAACCGCTTGTTTTGTCGTATAGAGCGCTCCCTCGCTGAGGGGGCAGAATTCAGAGGAAGTCTCAGGCGAAATGTTAATTTTTACGTACCCAGGTCGCCCAGGGAGGTATCTAACATGGTTGTCCCCAGAGGGGACCCAGGCCACCCAGGGGGTATCTAACATGGTGGTGCCGAGGTGGAGCCATGTGTTTTCACATGTCCAGGCCACCCAGAGAGGTATCGTACATGGTGGCCCCGAGCTGGAACAACGTGCTTTCACGTGTCCAGGCCACCAAGAGGAGTATCTAACATGGTGGTCCCGAGCTGGAGCCACATGTTGTCGTGTCCAGGCCACCAACGTGGACATCTAGCATGGTGGTCCCGAGCTGGAGCCACCTAGTTTTACATGTCCAGGTCACCCAGTGGGGTATATAACATGGTGGTCCCGAGCTGGAGCGTTTTTACGTGTCAAGGCCACCCATGGGGTATCCAAGATCTAAGCTGGTTGCACCACGTGATTTCACGTGTCCAGGCCACCCAGAGAGGTATCTGACACGGTGGTCCCGAGCTGGAACCTTGGCGATAGGATGACGTTGACGATGACGATGTTTTACTCCTAGTGCTAAAGTGCGAACACTTTGTGACCAAAAGGCTGGCTCGCACGGGATTCTGCTTTAGCCCGTGAGTAGCCTCGCTTGCTTAGCGCTTTCAAGCCATCGCGACTACGGAAAACATGAAGGCACAGAAATGTTACGACGTACTTGTGAAATCTGCTCTAGCGCCTCTGAGCATTGCACGGCACAGACACAGAGGGCGTTACGATGATTCTGCCGTTTTCTTCCATCGCCGGCAGGCGGGTCATACGATCCTGATTCCAGGGGGGGGGGGCATCGCAAAATTGATGTTTCTCTGTTCGCGCCGCTACTGGGGTGCGCCCTCTCATTGAGGGGGGCGCTGGGGAGTCAATCCGACAGGATTCACATAGGCGCGCTGCGGGTCGCCTTCGCAGAGTTGCCCCCCGCGCCCCAAGCGCAGCTGTGAATTGCTCGTGGGCAGCCCTATCTGCAGACGTCACCTTCGGACTTGGTTGGGGCCGTGACTCCCACAGCCCACGACTGCCTCAATCAGCCCCACTCGAGCACACTCCCAGCTGGATCGTAAAATCCGAAATGCATGATCCTGAAACGAAACCATGGCGCCCAGGTCAGAAATCCCCCAACCACTCGCTAGCAGGAAATGCGCCCCTGGGGTGAATCTGGGCACCTGAGGCGCGACAGCGCGTTCAACATGGTGTTCCTTTGGATGCAAATGAGGTTGATTGTTAGGAGTATATGCGCCTCGAAACCTCTTAACTCAAACACTGGAACAATCAACATATTGCTACGAATTCTATCTCAGTGTAGACCCGCAGAGCTGAATGACAGAGCGTCAGTCTGATCGCAGACTCTTCTGCTGTTGGCCGTTGCACTCTGCATGGAACAGGGGGGGCGTTTGCCGCCAAGCTGCTCACAGTGTGCAAGTGTAGTTGTGTGTATGTCTGCATTCTCTGTGACTGTTAGGGCAGTTATGCTGCAGCGCTTCAAAGCACAACAGCAATTTACGCCAGGAAAGAAAACACATAGAGATTGAGAGGCCACCTCCTTTGACAACTCAGACGAACAGACGCAGCGACCACCCTGGGCCACTGGCTAACGGGAAAAACGCCCCCGCGGCGAATCTGAGCACCTCAGGTGCACCAGATCGTTCAAGATCTAAATCCTTTGGGTGAGGACGGGCGTGATCTTGAGGAGAATCCAAATATGCATGTCTCTTAACACAGAGACTACAATAACTAACATGTTGCTATGGTTTATGTCATATTCTAGATACTGGGCGGCGGCAATTCACGGCCTGTTCTGTCCTGACAGAAATCCCCTAACCACTCGCTAGCAGGAAATGCGCCCCTGGGGTGAATCTGGGCACCTCAGGCGCGACAGCGCGTTCAACCAGGTGTTCTTTTGGATGCAAATGAGGTCGATTGTTAGGAATATACTTAATTCACTTCCGTTTACCTCAAACACTGCAACAATCAACATGATGCTATGAATTCTCTCGAGAGTGGAGCTCTGGGGCATCTCAATGTAGACCCGCAGAGCTGAATGGCAGAGCGTCAGTCTGATCGCAGACTCTTCTCCCGTGGACCGTTGCACTCTGGATGGAACAGGGGGGGGCGTTTGCCGCCAAGCTGCTCACAGTGTGCAAGTGCAGTTGTGTGTGTGTCTGCATTCTCTGTGACTGTCAGGGCAGTTATGCTGCAGCGCTTCAAAGCACAACAGCAATTTACGCCAGGAAAGAAAACACATAGAGATTGAGAGGCCACCTCCTTTGACAACTCAGACGAACAGACGCAGCGACCACCCCTGGGCCATTGGCTAACGGGGAAAACGCCCCCGCGACGAATCTGAGCACCTCAGGTGCACCAGAGCGTTCACGAGCTGTTTCCTTTGGATGATCACGGGCGTCATTTTGAGGAGAACCGCTGCAAAGATCTCTCTTAACACAAACACTACAATAACCAACATGTTGTTAAGGTTTCTGTGATATTTTAGATACTGGGCGGTGGCAATTCACGCATTCATGGCATCAATTTACGGATTTGTGGTTCCAGGTTGAACTCTTGCAGACACCTCGACATCGAATGCAGGCGCAACGCAACGTCAATCTGAAATGCTCCCTGACTAGAAAAACAGCTTGCTGTTTTCGATCATTTCCTTATCTCACTTGCGTCTGCTGCGAAAAATGTAGATACGGGAAAACTACATCCTCTGAGCCAAATGCCATGGGACAGCAGGCTCCACGGATACGTCTGAGAAGCCAGAAGTCGGAGGCCCCCGACGACGTCGGGGACCGCGAGGATGCCAGACACATCAACTAAATCAGCGCGCATAAGCCCGAAAAGCCAGGAGACAACACCAGCATGCACAAGTCTGAGGGACCAGAAATCCGTGGCCGCCGACGACGCACGGAATCAGCATGCACAAGCCCGAGGAACAGAAGCCCGAGGCCCCCGACGACCCTGGAAACCTCCACGAAATCAGCGTGCATAAGCCTGGGGAACGAGGTCTGACGCACCTGGCGACGCCAAAAACCTCCACGAGAAATCAGCATGCATAAGCCTGGGGGGCCAGAAGCCCGCGGGCTAAGCCTAAGCAGCCAGAAGCCCGAGGTTTCCGACAGGTTTCCGACGACGTCGGAAACCCCCACGGAGGAAGCACGCATAAGCCTGAAGAGCCAGCAGTCCGAGGCCTCCGACGTCGGGAACCTCTACGACACCAGCGCGCATAAAGCCTGAGGAGCCAGAAGTCCGAGGTTTCCGACGACGTGGGGAACCTCCACGAAATCAGCATGCATAAGCAAGAGGAACCAGAAAACCTCCACGAAATCTAAGCCTGAGGAACCAGAAGCCAGTGGCTGCCGACGGCGCCGGAAACCTCTACGAATTCAGCATGCCCGAGGAACCAGAAGCCCGAGGTTTCCGACGACGTCGGCAATCCCCATGGAAAAAACACGCATAAGCCTGAGGAACCAAAAATCCAAGGTTTCCGACGACGTCGGAAACCTCCACGAAATCAGCATGCATAAACCTGAGGAACCAGAAGTCCCAGGTCCCCGTCGACGTCGGGAACCTCCAACATGCATAAACCCGAAAATCCAGAAGTCAAAGGTTCCGACGTCGTCGGAAACCTCCGCGGAATCAGCATGCATAACCCTGCGGAAGCAGAAACCCGAGGTTTCCGACGACGTCGGGAACCTCCACGACATGAGCATGCATAAGCCTGAGCAACCAGAAGCCCGAGTTGTCCGACGACGTCAGAAACCTTAAGTAAATCAGCGCGCATAAGCCTGAAGAACCAGAAGCCCGAGCATGCATAAGCCTGAGTAACCATACGTCTGAGGTTCCCGACGACGTCGGGAACCTCAACGAAATCAGCATGCATAAGCCTGAGGAACCAGAAGCCCGAGGTTTCCGACGACGTCGGCAACCTCCACGAAATCAGCATGCATAAGACTGAAGAGCCAGAAACCCGAGGTTCCCGACGACGTCGGAAACCTCCACAACACAAGCACGCATAAGCCTGAGGAACCAGAAGCCACGAAATCAGCATGCATAAGCCTGAGGAACCAAGAGCCCGAGGTTCTCGACGACTCCACGAAATCCGCATGCAGAAGCCTGAGGAACCAGAAGTCCAAGGTCCCCGACGACGTCGGAAACCTCCACGAAATCAGCATGCAGAAGCCTAAGGAACCAGAAGTCCGAGGTTTCAGGCGACGTCGGGAACCTCCACGAAATCAGCATGCATAAGCCTGAGGAACACAGACCCCAGGTCCGACCAACCTTCTGACGCCGATGAGGCAGCCGCTCGTTACTTTCTCGGATCTCCATGATTCAGCCGAGTGTGAGATAGCAATGCAGGCGCATGCAAACTTCCGACTGCGACTCGGCGCCCTGCGCCTTGGTCATCATTGTGAGACGCATCCGTTGGTCAACACCCACTGCACCGATCGCTGCGTTCGTCTTGATCGAACTTGCAATTTCTACTCGGCGACCGGGTCTTGGTCAGCCTGGCGCGGCGCATGCATTGATCAACCTCCACTGCGCCGATCGCTGCGTTCGTCTTGCCCCACATGCCGATTGCAACTCGGCGCCCTTGTCATGGTCAACTCTGTGCGGCGCATGCATAGATCAACCTCCGCTGCAGC